CAAGTTTAAGGATCGTGTATTTTGCACGAGCTTGTTTCCTTATTCTCGTGATTAGCTCGCGTTCGGTTTTCTAATCCTTATGCGTGATTATCAGCTCATTCACTCGGCAGTTTTTGCCTGTGTCCGTGAATAACATGTACTGTTATTGTCCTTACCTAATCGACGTGATTGGCTCACCGATTTTGCACTGCAGCCCGCGTGCTTATCGAGGTGTTTGGAACAATTACTTATGCACAGCTAATGATATTTCAGATATTTCGCGATTTTTATAATCAGGTAAGAGGTAGTGTTGAAAATTGGTATCTTGGCAAATAAAATAATCTTGTCTGCTACGTCTGATCATCTCACCAAAGCTTCGTTAGCAGAGCAGGTGACGCGGTTGCAGGTTTGTATTTGGCACCGATTAAAACCGACGGTAAGTGTTAAACTGAATTCCTTTTAGTATCACTGAAGCTCGTCAATAAACAAAGGACAGTCTATTTATACGCTTCATTTTCATGTAGGCATCACCTAAAACCAGTATTTGCTTATTTCTGAGCATGCAATGCTCAGTAAACCTGTTCCGAGTTAAAGGATCTTAGTAGGTCATATGGTTATCACTGTTTACTTAATCATAATTGACCTTCTCTCACGATCCAGACCGTTCGGATGAGATGGTACAAATGGAGCCTTAAAGGAGAATTCTTCTCATCGACGTGAAATCATTCACTTTTCTGAACAGCCTTAAGCAGTACTCAGCGAGCTGTCATATTTACAGCACCGACTTCAGGGGCGTAGTATAAGTGCTGACTTAAAAAAAGTTAAAGACAAGCAAAAGCAACAATAATAGCATCAACGGAGAAATTAAAAAACAAACAAACAAACAAACAAAGAAGATGACCATGAGTTAAAAACCTGTGCAACTTCGGTTCTGAACTTTTATCAGATTATTTTTCAGAACGAAAGCCGTGACTGCTGTGAAGTCCCAACGTTCCTAAGACCAAGAAGATTTAATTACCTCACTTTACTCGTCTGATAATAGTCACCCGGGTAAAAACGATTTGGGAGACCGAGTAGGGTTGAACATGGAAAACTGTGCCCACCCTCAGGGAAATTTCTAGTTACGCCCCTCCCGATTTTTTAACAAAAAGGAAGAAAATTAAAAATGATAGCGCCAATAATTTTTGACAAAAACGCACTTACTTAAAAATTATAATTTTACCCCCCCTCGCCTCCCCCCCCCCCAAAAAAAAAAAAAGAAAAGAAAAGAGAAAAAAAGCAAAATAACGTGCAGCCATTTTAACGGGGCGACTCATACAAACTCATGAATACCGCATGCAAGGCCGAAGGGCACTTTGGTTGCTTTGTGAAAGAATTTGTGTACCGTCATATGCTGATGATGGTAAGGTTTTTTTTGGTTATACCGTACTGTTTGTCAGCTGCCTGCGATATCATGTTAAAAGAAGGCCTGTTATTTTGTGAGGCCGCGGCTCTACCCTCAGAAAGTTGACTTGTTTGTATTTTTTTCTAAACAGATGAAGTGTTTCGTTTCTATGTCAACACTGCTGATTGCAGTTCTTGGATGCTATTGCCAGAAGGATAATTTTCAAGCCCTACGGCTGATTCCAGCGTCGGAAAAAATCAATTTGAACTTGATTGAGTGGATATTAGTGGCTGAAAGAGCACAAAGAGAGAAACTCGGAAAGGATTGTCTTCCAAGTCAAAAATGCCCGGCCAACAATACTTGCTGCTATGTATCGTCTACGAAGTTCCGCTGCTGCCCGTTAAAAGATGCTGTTTGTTGTGTCGACCATACTTGCTGCCCAGGGGGCTACAGATGTACTGAAACCATTTGCAAAAAAAATCATTAATATCACTCAGCACTTGTCTGTAACCAGAACACAATCGATAGAAAACAGGATCTTAAACCATTTTAACGGCTAAAAGTACAACGGATCATTTAATAACTCTTCAGCCATCTTGGGACTACCATTATCAACAGTGCTAACAGGTTCTAATGGCATTTAAAAGTTAACTTCCGAAATGATACCAGGGCCAAAGAGAAATAGCTAACGAGAAGGACACCCATCTGAGAAGTCTTGGTTAAGGGTTCCAGTGACAAAATTTTCTTCTTAAATAGTGTAATACTGGCTGAAACATTATGTAATTCTGATGATCCAATATAAAATACATTGTTAAAAAAGTGTTTATTTTAGAATTGACAGTGACAATACAAGTGGATTCATTGGCATACAAGTAAACATGCATCACTCATTTACAGCTTGAAATCCCGGGGGGGGGACTCCCATATGAAACAGACGGGGATGCTCGTCGGAAATTTTGAATTTAACCCCTAAAGGAGACCATCAGGGCGTGGCTCAAGCTTTTTGTGACCCCTAAAGGAGACCAATCTGGGCGTGGCTTAAGCAAATTTTGACCCCTAAAAGAGACCGCTTAAAAACACACAAATACGACATGCAATCAGTTTCAATGATATAAAGACATAATCATCGAATGCTTTTATCTAAAAGTAGTTTTTAAAAGCATTGTCATAAATCTTAAAAGTTCTTCGTGGAACCCTAAACGAGACCTTGGCGGCTTAAAATATTGGCCATTTGCCCGGAACACCCTAAGCGAGACCAAAATCCAAAATTTACACCCCTAAGCGAGACGACGAGCATGCCCGTCTGTTTCATATGGGAGTCCCCCCCCCGGGCTTGAAATGTACTTTATTCAAAAAATTGTCTAGTGACGTACTGATCATTTTTTCTTTTTATTAGTTTTTGTTCTAATATAAGAGGCATTCACTGAAATTTGTTGCATATTAACCACTGCACATCAAGTAAATCAGCAACACAAGATTCTTCTTCTCAACATGTACACATGTATTAGACTTCGACTGGTATTCATTCTATCCCCTGAAAATCCCTCTTAGCATCTTATTTATCTTTTGAGTACTGTAGATCAAGGTTTTGTGGCCTCCTGCAGTAATAACTCCTTTGATGCTCTGTGAGATACTAGATTTCCTAACAATAGAAGTGATACCTTTTCTAACTACCTGTGAACAATTGACTATATCTTTAGAAGTATCATATAATGCTTCTTCAATTAAAGACGCCTTGACTTCTTTGCTAATGACACTCGAGACTACAAACTGTAATAAATTTCGGGGTAACGACTTCAAGCGAGAAAATATCATGTTTATTTCTTGATTCTGGTGATATTTACGAGATGAAGAGTTAAAATGAATTTCATTTGACTTCAAAAGAATTGGGTTGTAAAGATCTCTAAAAGGTTCAATATTTGGACCAACAATGTTCTGTACTTTATTTTTGTTTTCTCCCACAATCATTCTGAAATCTCCCGCAAATGACAAACCCGCGATGCTTAAGAAAAGCTCTTCTTCTGTAAAGAACTCTGGAAGGCTCAGGAGCGCCACGTTGACAGCGCTGTATAAATTCCCCTTCAAAGCTGACAAAACAACTGCGTCATCTCCTCGTTGTAAGATTTTGACTGGTTTGTGAAGTCGCCCAGAGAGATATAACCACTGCCATTCGTTAAGATCAAGAAGAAAATTCTCGCGACTGATAGTCCCATATTTAATAACTCTCCCCTCCATTGGCACCAGAGTATTGTAATACATTCGTGCACCGAATCTATCTTGCAATGAAACCACAGCATTGGAGCCAAAACGTCTGACGAAAGAGTAGTGGTGTGAATGGAGATTCAGATTAGTTTTATGCCATTGATCAGCGTCTTCGAGGACAAAAACAAAGTCCAACATGTTCTTTGAAGACACATTTCCTTTCTGGGAAAATATTCCGGAGCCATAAGCGAAAGCAAGGGAAATTCCGGACGGAAAACGAGCCACAATTTTCTTTAGAAAATCATCATGTGAGTCCGCCATTTTATTCGCGCTAGAGCCCAGTCTTTCATCTTGAAAGAGAGGTTGTTTACCGTTAAGTTTACCATGGCAACAGCTGAGCTTTTGTGGCTTCTCAGCTGTTGCCCCAGTTCACATTTTTTTCTGCGATGGCTTTCTTCAACTTAACACGGCTGGGACTACAGGACCCTATAAAGTCTGCAGTCACTAAACCGGGAACAGCTTCTGCACCAGGCGGAGATCTTGATACAGCGAAATCAACAGCTGCGGCAGCGTCAAGACACGCCAGTCTCAAAGAGCCGGTCTATCCAAACTCGGAAGCGAATGGATCTCACGTAAAATACACTACCCGTCTACACAAACACATTCGACCTAAATTGGGTAAGTCTGCCTAAGATAAAAAGCTTTCGCTTCCATACTCTGCGTGATATGTAAGCGCGATCTTAACAGTGATGATGAGATTTTATTTATTGAGACGGAAGTTGTTTATAAATTTTATAAAAGTGATAATGGCCTTCTTTGTTTATATCACTCACTCTTGGTTTTAATATTTAGTCTTGTTGTGTTGTAAGATTATAGTCGAGAAATAGAAGTTATTACTTAAAGGGCTTTTTAGTTAGCAAATACCCGATGATAATAAAAATGTGCTTAAAAAACTCTTATATGACACAAGATCTCCCAGGAGGCCTCTCAAAATTTTTGCCGCACATCTTTCTAAAAGTTACATTTGCAGGCATTTGCACAAGCGAAATTGAAAACCATGCCATCAACCTGATTTTCAGATGATCGTGCAGGCCTAATTTTTAATGCACTCACGTCCATATCCTTGGACATTCACATCCGTATCCCATATCCTTGTAGCCTGTGAACAGGCTCTCTGTTTGGGGAAAAACAGGCTAATATCCTTGAGGCTGCTGCATAGGACATTTTTAGGGGGTGCCCCTCATTCACTGAGTGCAGAGGCATTTTGGAAAAGTATCCTCTTTGTGTAAGGCTGTATATGCACTCATGAAACTCAAAGGAAATAAAATTGTGTTGAGTCTGTACTGAGATCACGTAAAATGAATTTAATAATTGTCTTTTCAGATGGTAGTGGCCAACCTGAGAGTATTGCTCCTTCTTTGATACTAATAGACTCTATGGACTATATCAAAGAAACTTCAACATTGTTGACCCAACCTCCCAGCAGTAACAGTTTATTCACATCCAGGGGAGAGTAGGATTACTCCCAGGTGCTTCATGCTACACAAATGGTGATAGCCCCAGTCGTGGGTGCTTCACATGCTCATGTTAACCTCCAACGCAGTTGTCTTATAGCTTCACTATAAAGGCATTCCTTTCCCACTTTAATTTGTGGGAAAGGAACCCACGACAAAGCCTTAAGAACTGCATGGGGGACTAGGCTCCTGTGTGCCTTTACCAAGTGCATAAGCAAAGCTTCATATTTTGAACACTGCAACCATTATTTTGCTTTATTTTTTCTATGATTTATTCTTTTTTCTAAAACAAGGACTTTTGTCATTTTAAAACCAAAAAAGAACAACAAGAATAACAACAAATTGAAAGAAACAGGGTCCACAGTTTTCCAAGAGGAAGGGCAGCCTTCTTCTACTGCAATGCCAAAGGGTCTATTACCCAGTGCTTCTGATAATTCTTGTGGGATGATTCTCTCCTTCTCTTAATCTTTTAACTTAAAATTAATTTTTGCAGGACCAAATGAAATATACCACACCCAAATAACAACAAATATAAATTACAGTTATTGGATGAAAGATGGAGTCCAACAAGAATCATGGACACAGAATGATCATCATCCAAGAGTCAATAGTGAAATGACAAGGTATCATTCAATAATAATATTCATCAACATATTACTTCCTTTCATGTAAGATTTTGCCTAGTCTGCATAGCTGGCAGCAGTTATTTATTTTTTAACAGGCCCTGCAAGGAGAATATGTGAGATTTTCTTCCTTTTCCCTTAAAAAACGGCACCTGCTATGTAGGGTAGATTTTGCCCTTCAGACCTGTGTATTTTGTACCTGAAAAAGCATCCGAAGTTTAATTGACAAGTCATTTCAATAACTATACATACAATGCCCGGGTAGTAGGGTGGGGGTTGGAGGGGTTTTGGAAGGGTGGTTGCGGGCACAGTTGGGGTTGATGAAGCCATGAAATGTATTGAAATAATAAGGTGTTATTCAATAATTCATGATCTTATTATTTCAAGTAATGATTTTGCCCTACAGGGCCCAGTTGTTCAAATGCCGGTTAGCGCTAACCCAGGGTTAAATTTTAACCAGGGCTTCTTTTTCTTTTCATCAAAAGCACTCTCTCAGATGATTTTCTATATATTTTTTAGAGTATCCAATCATCAAATTGTAGACAAAGAGAATTACACTGAATTTGCTTTTTACGCTCTCACATCTGAGTTCAAATTTTGCACTAACCCTGGGTTATCTTAACCCACCTTTGAACAACCCAACCCAGGTGTATTAATTTTTGTACCTGTACAGGCATCAGACTTTCATTACAAGTCATATCAGCAACTATACAAAGGAACCCGATACAGCAAACTGCTAAATGCCTGGGCAGTGGGGTTAGGCGAAGGGTGGTTGTGCCCTGGGGGTGGGGAGAGAAGGAGTGAGGGAAGGGTGATTGTGGGCACACTTAGAGTTGATGAAGCCATAAAACGTATTGAAAAGGACTGAAAGTTAATGCAACCTTGCTTTAACATTAGGGTACATACATACATACATACATACATACATACATGTACTCTACCAGTCCCATTTCAGTTTGTTAACTCACAAACCAGGATGGTAATAATAAAATCATATTATATTAGAGATTTCTTGCAAAGTTCAATGCATTTCAGATAACAGAAATGCTGGAAAATTTGCAAAAATGAATGTAAAGTGAAAAAAACCTTAATACTTTCTCTAGTTTACCCTTTAAGGACTCAAGTTGAAAGGTACATGTATGTTATAAACTTCAAGTTCAGTGATCTTGTGTTTGTTTCCTATTTTTCCAGATTTGTTGATGAAATGACACTTACCAACAGAGAGTTCACGTTATTTTAAGCACTGAACAATGAAATAGCTGGGATGCTGAACTTATTTCTCTCCCTCCTTTAATTGTCACAATGTTATTACTTTCTTTAATAGAATATTTCAATGATAAATGTCGTCAATTCATTGATGACTAGGGTACAGTGCTGACTTGTACATATAATCATTTACAACCACTTATCATGAAGCAGAAAAATAAGAATTCAACATTGAAACATGAAACTCAGATTTCACTTTAACAAACTGTATCGATTAATGAGAACATTACCCTTTTATTGAAAAGTACATTCGTTTTTTAAATGTAATGGGTATGTAATTTTTTTCAGTTTTTTGCTAATAAAATACTTTGATAGAAAATGTACACGTATAGAATCAATCTATTCCTTGTCTTTAACAACAATGTGTTATCAGGGGGCAATAGACAAGAGAGAACTGACAGTAATAATAATTGGTGAAGGGACTTAACTTCACAAAACATTGCAACAAAATGCAATAGAATACATACACCTGTCTGGTGAGCCAAATGCACAGGTAGCTGCATGGCCTTGCATTAACAACAATAATTCAATAACTATTATTGAATGAGGCTGAGTATCATCTGAAGAATTATGGAGATTGGGAGGGTGTTATCCACCGAGGCCTACAGAAATTTTAATTATTTAAAATATCTGTCAACCACCTCCATTTCCTTTCAAACATTTTGCAGTAAAACTGCATGGAAGAGAAAACACTAGAAACCCCAGAAAAAAATAAACTTTCTTAAAGACAACATAACTTGATACATTTCCTCAATTTATTATTAGTATTATTATTATATTTTTATTTACCGTGCTGCTGTTTAATACAACATTTCTGTTGTGGCTTTGCATCTGATATTGATAACAAATCTTTTACTGGTCAAGATGTACAATTTTATCGTGACCAGTTGAAATATTTAATTCCTTTTACCATACGTTATTTAAAAACTATCAAGGATTCGAGTGACTTAAAATTTGAAACAATATTTAAATAAATCTCAAATTCATTGCATTTAATTAAATTATTATCACTGTATCTGTTGCCACTAAAAAAGTAATACTTACTTTTTTGAAACTTGCAACTCTATATCATATATCACCTTGGAGTTTCAAATACTCATTGAGTAGAATGAAAAACCAGTACATTATGACAGCTTTGAGTGGCTGGTCTCTTGGATCATTAATTTTGCAATGCCCATCTCATAATAATACTATACTCATTGTCTTTTTTAATGCATTTTAACATTCATAAGAGTATTAAATAAACCTTCAAGAAGCCCAAAGTCAATAATATTTCAACATTCATTTCTCTCAAAATTGGAAATAAATTGCAAAGGATATACATTTGGTTTATAATTTTGCCAGACGTACTATCAAATTCAAAGGTTTTTTTTAAAAATAAGATTTGGCTGCCTTGCAGCCGTTTTAATAATTTTAATTTTAATATTGGTTTAAGGACCGTCTAGGTTAATAATTAACCTACACAGTACAACATGAACCCATAATAATTAAAGCTGCAAGCTTTTGTTTTCTTCTGTTTAACCTTATGCAACTGTGACCTGGAAACAGTGTTGGGAACTGCAATTTAAATCTTAATATGTCCGACATGGTCATGACTTCCGATCTTTGATTTTTGAGAATGATGGTTTCAGTGTAACACTGTAGAGTGACAGACTACTGATATTCAAGACAGTGAGTGTGCCTTAGCTCATTTTTTCTGATCATCACCATACTGTGTTTCATCCATGTTTCCTTGGTTATCACTTGTCTCTATGGTAACATCAGGCGGCATTGGACTGCTGTCACCCAGCATAGTACCGTAAACATTACAAGCGACAATCAAGCAACACAACACAATTGGACCAATGATGGCTCCTTCAAGACCCACACAATAGATTCCTCCTGCAACAGCTAAACCAGTCAGGTATGGATGGCCACCCCTGTTGATAAACAATAGTACAGTAATGGTCTTAACAAAATACTGGTAAGATGGAGTGGAATTTACTTGAGCTTTTGATTTTGCTTTGTGGGGTTAAAATTTTGAGCCACCTATACAGTGAACTAATACACTGTATAGAATACTATGCCGATCAGTCCAACAAAGTTTGAAGCCTTGGTACAATGCAGCACTGTGGTTGTTCATGATATGCAATACTAAATAAGTGCATAAGGCCCTTATATCATACTTCCTTTTAAGTCAAATTCTTTCATTGTTGAGGGCACTCAATTCTGAAAACTTGCAGCAAATTTCTTGGTATAAATATTGTTAATTTCAAGTACATTCAGGTAAAATAATATTCTTAAATTTCTTTTTTGTTATAGTACCATACACTTGAAGTCACTGTACAATAAAGGCTGTGCTTTTGTTATGAACTACCCTAAAAGGACCAATTAGATTGCTTTCATTCAAGAGTTTACTGATACGTCGCTTACAAAAACTCTAAAAAACACAATGGAAAGATCACAAAAGTGTTTGTCTTAGCTTATGAGAGCTTTTGATAACAGAACTTATAATAAACTTAAGTTCAACAGTGTTGGTTCTGATGAGAGTGATTGCAAGAAGCAAGTTGGGTGTACTTCATCAAGAAAATGGACAATACCATGATATGTGAATTTGGGTCTACAAATTAAAAACTTACAGCAATTCTAATCCTGGTAATAACCTTTTTTCAATAAACTACATGTAGTAGGGCAAAGCGATAGGATTGTAAATCATGAGGTGAAGTCACTTTTTCAAGTGTTTTTCCAAGGAGGGTCAGTTTATGCAAAATGATACTTTGAAACAAATGAAGAAACTGCATACCCACTAATTTCACTGTAAATGGCAACATCAACAAAGTATGTTGGTAGAAAATGGCAGACTGCAAGCACAGCAGCCATTATTCCCTGTCCTTGGACCAGCCACAGTTCAAGTACAGCGGGAGCTGCTGCCCAGTATGTGCCAATAAATGGAACAACAGCAGTTATGGCTGCAAATGCTGAAGGAAGAAAAACAAAGATATGCAATCCAATCCAGTGGCTGTTCTAGGGTTGATATTGATTAGTTTTGAGGTTTTAAACTTAACAACATTTCTGCACAACCTAAGCCTAAGTCGCAAACTTTTCTGTACAAGTGTGTCACGAAAGTTGGAAAAAGAGCAAAAAAGAGGAATGAAGGGGAAGGGGGAGGGGAAGAAAAAGACACCCTTGACCGCAAACCCCATGATTCTGAAAAAATATTAATGTGCAGCTTCTGATTGGTGCAGGATGGTCGTGTTAAGTGAAAAGCAATCAGCATATCAATCAAACTGGCTACTGTAAGTGCACCGTTGATATTCACATTGAGGTATTATTTCACTTTACATAGGTTTATACATTCAATTTTCAACAAGAATAATGTATTTAATAGTCATGCGATAATTTAGTAATTTGAAACTGCTTTTCAGCACTAGCCACACAACATGTAGATTAACAATAATACCGCCAAAAAAAGATGCAGACAGGGTATATTGTGCCTGTTAGCACTAGTGGTGGTGGAAGGGGTGGGGTGGGGGCATGATGAGCCTACCTGAAGGTATGTAGACAATATTAACACCAAATGTTGTGTGGGTGAACCATGTATAGATGCCATAGAACACTGCCATCTTAACTGCTGCTCCAAATACACCCCTACAAAAATTAGTATGTAACACATTACAAGATAAAATTAAAATAAATAATACTACTTATTAATGTACAGTGTTGTTTATACATTATTAAGTCAAGAAATCACTTCTTTAGGTATCTGATATTAGGGACCCTATGAAACTATGACGGCAACATCAAAAAGCAATAGGTTTAGTTAGCAAAACAACAACTCTGCACGTGTATCGTGCTTTCTTGTACATTTCTTTGCCGTCCCTGCATGACTATGACGTGAAATGACCAAATTTTAATAACTTTTTTTGAGGATGGGAATGGCAAGGCCATACATTCTACCATCTGTGTCTTAATTCGGGTGCTGCCCCCTCTCTTCAGCTCCAATATAAATTCCCTTCTTTTAAGTAACTCGGCGACTTGAAATTACCGCAAAATGGTTTGAAAGGATGTGGAGTCTATTTTTCAGCAAGGTTTCCATGGATGCACCGTTGTCGGATCATAAGATCCCTATTACTACATATTTCTAATCGATGAAACTTTCTGTGTCAATAATCTAGAAATCAGTGCAATCAATAACATGCATTCCAAAAAAAGGCCAGCAATGTTAACTGACTTTTGAGAAAAATAGCAACTTCCCTGACTGAGCTTAAAAATAGTGTTGCTCCTGTTTGGCACGCAGGAACCTTGTCTCCAGGGCCTTTTCTACAAAGCAGAACAGCTGAGAAGGGGGGAGAAGAGCAATCTGTGGAGAAAGCTGCTACAAATACTTCAATAGATTTTCTTCGCTTCTGCTTGCATTCCAGAATCCATATCTGAAATGGCTGTAAATCCATCCTAGTTAAAACATTGGATGAATCTGTATAGGGTGGATATACAAGAGAAACAGAAGTAGTAGTGTCGACTTGGGCTTGAGCAATTCATTCATTAGAAGCCATACATTAAGTGTACTTGTATAGGTAGCAAATATTCTTCTTCAGAAAATGTTGGCTACCCACTTATTATGACCAGACTAATGATAATACCTTCCCAAGATGTCTGTCATGAGGCAAAGGCATTCAAAATCTTTGGTGTTTTTTCAGTAGCAGTATGCAGGTATTTCATTATGTAAGTCTAAATAAATTACAATTCTGACAGCCCAGCGAGTCTTTATTGACTGTTTATACAAACCTGATAGCTCCATATGCAGAATCTCCAAATCCAGATGTTCCAGTAGCTGTTAATTTACCAAACCATTCAACAGGCTTATACTGCTCCCCAGAGAAACTCAATAAATAAAACAATGCAGTTACAAAAACGATCTGAAAGAACACAAACAGACATCACTGAATTTACTCAAAGTCAGCAACAGCTTTTGTCCCTATCAAAGGGCCATGCCCA